GTTTATACGAGCAATCCGGTGGCCGAGCGGTCGAAGCGACACATCTGAACTAGAAAGAACAGTTTAATTTAAATAAAATCAATACCTTATCGACCTATACGCCTCGGAGTGGACGTTAAGTCACGAGTCCAGGGTACAGTCACCGGGTTGGTGACGGCGATCGTGAGCAGCCCCCGACCTGCGCGGTACCAGTATATAAGAAGATCTAAGTCTGAGCCGCTCGCTTCGACATAAAATAAAAAATGAGAACATCACTCATTCACGTACAGCTGTCAATGATGTGCGTCTAGTGTGCTATTATTTATATTTTTCTACAGCAGTTATTTCATAGCACCACATTAGATCATCACGAAGACTCATGTCTATGTCTAAATTGTCCCGGATGAAAATCTCTCATCTAAAGAGTCACGTGTCTGCTTGGAGGAACAACGGAGGATCATCAAGAAAACGTGCAGTACAGATATTCATTCTGTGTAAAGCCATTTATTATGCCACTAGCTTTTGCCCGCGACCCCATCCGCGTGGTTATAGAATGAACGAAACATGCCTAAGGTCGATCTTCAGCAAGATACCTGTAAATCGCATTCAATTCCGTGTAGCAGTTTTGTCGTGATGCACTAACATACAAACACACAGACATACAGTCAGACAAACTAATATTTTAGTTCCTATTATACTTATAAACCCTAATTTTGGAAAAAAAAACTTATATCTCATTCCAAAATAAATATCATATTCGTAATTAACATGCCAAAAAACCGCAATAACGACATCTATATCAATTTATAGGTTTATTTTCATTCCCTAAGGGATTGATTTAAAGTGCGCGTCAGGCGAACGCGCAATATAGAGTTCCGTAGTCGCCAGTCACAATAGCGGACTTTGAAGGGCGCTTTTTGTTTTATACTATTGATATTACGAACTACACTCCCCAGCTAAAAGTAGAACTTCAAAATAATTCCCATATAAAAACATATTCGAAAATAAAATTTTCTAAATAAACAAGCACCCCCGCGCGCCAGCTCTTGCGTCCGTCGGCGCTTACGATGTATATTCACAATTTATTTTTAAGTGGGTTTATTTATTGGGGTGAAGACAATGAATCTTGTTTGTTTATGTCAGATGTAATATGTTTATGACTCATTGTTCCGGATGGTCCCAATTATTTCTGCAAGGCTAGTCGCAGGTATAAATAGTGTGTTATGGTAGAGTTTGAGTTTTATTTCTGCTATCAGAGCGTTTACAAGTCAAAATAATGAAATTCACTCTGGTTTCGTGGTTGGGAACTGTGACCAATAGCAAAATTAAATTGCAAACATGACAGGGAGCGGAATCGATAATCGAGATCAAGAAAGAGACCAAGGCCAAAATTGGGTGTGGGACCAAAGTTAGAATCAAGATTATAATCGCAATCAGAACGAGGAGCGATTCCGAGATCGAAATCAAAAGAGAGATCAGGATCGAGAGTGGAATCGAAAGCGATTTATGAGGATACCGGGGTAAGAATCAAAAGTGGGACCAAGATCAAGAGTGGAATTGAAAACGATTTATATGTAAACCGTGATCAGAATCGAAAGCGGGACCGGTATCGGAATCGGAAACAGTATAGCTATTAGAATTTTGACGAGGAACGCGATTAATCGCGGTGGAGTTGCGGGCGAAAGTTAGTCTTTTATATCGATCGACGACCATTGAGCGTAATCCCGACCTCGGTCCCGATCTCAATTACACACTAGAGGTATCCATATCCTTGCACCTAAAGCACACGCGATGCCGCTAATTTTTAGTTGTATTATGAAACGACCCCACTTATGCTCTTGATCTCGATTCTGATCCTGCTTGCGATTCTCATCCCGAACCGATGTTGAACTTGAATCTCTTTTGAACGTTGTTTTTTCTAATAAACCAATTACCTTAAGTTCTTTTGATGTATAAGCTACATTACTGTATAATTTCAGCTGATTCCGTTCAGCCGTTAAACGTATTGGATAACAGCCACACAAACACAAACGTGCACATTTATAATATTAGTAAGATTATCAAGGTTGCCTAAATTCTGACTTCATTTTTCAATACTGAAGTTATCTAAACTATCATAAAACTTAACCTTTTCGCCGCCTGCCGTATTCCTCTGCGGCTTCATCACACGCCGATCGCTTTAGAGTGTACAAAACACTACAGCGAAACTTCGATAAACTTTATTTTAGAAATAAAAATTCATGAATTCTATATATTTTTATTTTCCCTTATAAACTTTTAATTTTTTATTTTATATACAAAATCGGAGCAACGCATTTTTTTTGAGATTTGTGTCATATCCTAAAAACGAATACATTTTATAGGCGTAGTAAGGCACCGTAACTCTAGATATCTGCTAAAACTTCGTCACATGACCGTCCCCATCCATTCATTAGAAATTATTTGGCTATAGATAATTATTGCTATCCACGCGAAGCCGGAGCGGGTCGCTAGTATTAAAATAGAACATAATAATGTAAACTTAGCGCAGTGTTCTAAATCAAGTAAAATGCATTTATCAGTTGGTGGCGCTGGCCGCAATAAGTGAATTAACTAATTATTACAGACGTGCAGGTTTCAACTAACACGAAAATAGTGTTGTACAGGAAAAATCGATAATTACTTTAACAATTTCTATTCGGTAGCCGTAATTGTTACACAAAAGTTATCTATGTCTATTTATAATATTTTATAATAAATAAAAATACTGTATGTGTGATATTCTGAATCCCACAAAACAGACAAATAAAATGTTTATTTCCATATTGCTATCGTATGAAAACAAAAATTTAATAACAACTTTCTAGCCCTTTTTTATTCTTAGATATTCAGTTGAAATAACGTTGGCGTTAGTCTGGCATTATTGTGGGAGTTTTGGCATGACTTTGCGTTAATTCCAAGTAAAGAGCATTAATTATGGAGAAAAATAACAATATAAACACATTAAATTAGTGTACATTTATCTAAATTTTTGCGAAAATAGAGAAAGCATTTTTATAATCGAAAATTTATTACTACAATCATATTAATATACAGATCTAATTAGAAAACGGCGTTGTTCACGCAGTATTTTATTGGGTAATCAAAAATAGTCACTGTCAATTTTAGCAGCCCCACTAACAAAAAAATCGCCCAATATGAAAACAAATAAAGCAAAAAAGATTAACATAAAGTCCAACCATTAATATCAATAGTATCAATTGGTATCAAACAGTAATTATATGGACAATAATTCCAGGATTTCTCGTTTTGTGCAATTAGTAGAACAACAACTTAAACATACAAATCCATGTTTGCGCACGCTCGGTTCATTTTCAGAAATTATTTTATCATGCAATTCCCTCTTTTTTTTATTCTTTTGTTATTCTGTATATAATAATGTGTAAATGTGCGCTAATAAATAATGTTTCCCATTTTTTTTATTGATAACACTCTTTATTCCGTTAACTAATACACTAACACATGTTTGTCAGTTGTCTCATTTACTCCGACAGTGGTACATCACTAATGAACATTATATCAGTCCGTGGCGTAGCATACGTGTGAATGTATATATATAATTTCGAAAAAGTGAAAAAAATACAAAATCCAAAACACATTTTAAGATCTTTATAGGTTTTGTGTTCTATATCATATTGTTTATTCTTTGTATTGTCTACTCTACTTAAGTATATGAAATATTCATAATTATTTAAAACATACCCTAAAAAATTTCGTTTCGTTTACTACTAATACATCGGTGTTTGGCGTGAGTGGCAGGACACTTGATGACACGTATCAGTCGCTGGCATTGAAAGGGTTAATGATTTTAGACCAAATGTTTGCATTTAATTAATAATTAGAAATATACAAGCTCAAAACCATATCTTTTTATATTTTAAAGATTCTTTTCATACGTCTGTCAATTTATATGATTACCTACATAGAATCGAGGTAATTAACTGTCTTTCCGCATATTACCTTAACAGTAATATTTCTTATGAACACTTTAAGTCCGCCAGTCGGTGCAACGAAACCAGACTGTGACTAAAATGTTCACGACAGAATGTCGCCGAAACCGCGACTCTAACCGCATGCGGCCGCCGGGAGGATTGGTTTCATGCTTCATATGATTTTTATTCTCATCGATTCGAAACGCCTGCAGTTTTTGCTTTGTATCAGCTTTGCGATAACGATAAATAATATAAAGACTGACGTCGACCTGCAGCCGCCTTGCTTGCTTCTGCAGCGACATTACGTGATTTAGGGCCCTACGTTTTCGCTCTTGACAGTAGTAATACTATTATAATTATTAAGTCAGACAACTCTTTGTGTATCTATAATACAATCCAGTATTCGTATTTTTAAATGATTTGATCAAAACCTTATGTAAAGAAATTCATTAAGATAAAAAACATCTACATTAAAATAAAAATTAATGAGGTGTCTTCGGGACACCTGGTTGGAACGAAGTTCCTTTCGCTGTACGTAAATCTACTTTATGAATTGAATATATAATGACAATGAAATTAATTGAAGCGTTTGAAAGTAATTAAATAAATAATAATAATACAAGTAAATAAATGGTAAGAAATATTTGTAGGTCGTCAATAAATATTTTTTAATTAATTATTAAAATTCTAATAAAGCAATAAAGCCATCTGAGTTATTCACTAAAGACTTTGTTAAGTTCGTCAATTTGACAAATATGTAATTATGAACTCAATAATAGATGTCACTTTTACATATTTGTATAAATATTTATTTATTAAAATTTCTATTTTAATACTCTCCAAAAGTAAAACAATCTAAGAGTTTTATTTAATATTTTATGAAAAAAAAAAAAGGAATTATAAGGTATATACGAGCTCAATGAAATAATTAACAACCTTTGAAAATAATGAAACGAAAAATACAACAAAAAGAATGAAGGAATGGTAATAAAATATTACAATAAGAATTGTAGTTAATATTTTACTATAAATTACCATAAAAGGAATGCAACACCACACGGTGTTCCCAAGCACTCACCCATCCAAGTACTGACCACGTCCGACGCTGCTTAACTTCGTAGTCGAAGGAAAACTAATGTATTTAGCGTGGTTTGGACGTTGGAAAACAAATTTGTAAAAGTCAAGGCTACGAGAACCTTCTAGAGCAACGACGGTCAGCATTTTTCATTATAGTTATACTTTTTTTTCTTATAGCTCCCTTCGGCCGAGCGTCTGAGTGTAACGTGCGATAAAGAACTTCGTTCCTAGGATTCTATATCTAGGATTTTTCCAAACCTTTAGAATACGTCCTCAATCATTAATACTATAAGGCCATGCGAACAAAGTCGTAGACAGAAGTTGGAAAAAAATAAAGTCAAATACAATAATAGATTGACTACGTCCATATGTATTCGTGACGGGTGAGGTTTGCACGGGCGAAGTGAAATACAGAGCAGCACATTGTGTGAAAGAAATGGGATTTTGCAACAAGTCTTACCAAATGCAATATATTTAAAAAAGAAAACACGTGTGGCACTCGGGGACTGCCGCGGTAAAGCTATTGCATAGTATCTTTTATCAACTTATGCAATTATAATTATTTATATATTTTATTTATGCGGTATTTTTTTTTGAGGAGGTTCCCTAAAGCCGAAACTCTAAGCAGGCATGAGTCACCAGATTGCGGGTGAAGAGGGGATTACGCATGCGCAGTAACACCGATACAACCAATGCCACCTAGAGACGAGTTGCTGAACTAAAGAGACAAGCGTGATATTTCAATAAAGTCATTAAAAGTTCTACTATTCATCGATAGATGGCAAAAGTAAAAAAGTATCACCGCTGTGCCGGTCGGAGTGTGGGGGGTGTTAGGTTATTTTCGTTACGGAATTTCTGGATTCGGTCTCCACGCTCAAGGCCCGCGATAGAAGCTTCTATCGCGGGCCTTGAGCATAGCTATGCAATAGCTTAAAAAACTGTGTACATTTTCGTTATAATTATCGGTATTATCAGAATCATATATAGTTTTTTTTTGTTATATATTAAAATATAATGAACGAATTTATTGCTCAATGAAAGCAAGGATAAATAGATATACCTAGAGAATGACTTGAAATCTTACAAAAAAGTTCACCTGCAATATGTATTAGTTTATTCTAATATTATAAAGGAGAAAGTGCGTTGGTCTTTCTTTCATGCAGCAACGGCATAACGGATCAAGGTGATTTTACGCACAGAAAAATTTACTGGTCGGAGAGTGACACAGGCTACTTTTTATCCTGGAAAAAATGTACGTATCTTGCAGAATTAATCCAGAACTAAATTTATAATTTTCTTCTAAAATATCATATCGTACTTTAACGATATATAGTATGAACTTGTCCGTTCTTGGAATAACATATAGATACTTTTTATCCTGGAAAAATGCACGGATATATAAAGAATCTAAATGCAACATCTGAATGGAACTTAAATTTAGACCAATTTTAGTCAAATATTGTAATTTTGTATGTGTTTGTGAGAGTATTTATTATATTTTAGGTAGATATGTACAAAATAGTAACATCAAACATGATAAATATTACTTTTCGTAGAAATTATCAAAATCTTAATAAGGTCAACTTTTTTTTCAATTTTACTTCAAGAAATTTTACCTAATTTTATTGCGATGAATAAACAGCATCCACACATGTATGGCATCCATCATTTTATTTTTCGCTATTTTTTGTAACTTTTTAACATACACAGGGGAATATCATTAATTTAGCCACCATAGAGTAGGTCATCACCACCAACCATGGACACTTTCAACTGCAAGTGTCATATAAATAAATCGTAGACGCTGTACAGTACAACGTACGAAACTCCGCCGCTCTGAATTGGCTGTAAATGATACACCGTGTAGGTACATATTACGCTCCCCGACCCTTCCTTCTCCCCCGCCGCGTTCCTATTTTACGCCATTGCTACGTTTTCTTGACGAACTTCACAGCGACAAAGGTTTGTACGTTATACTGTAATTTGCTTGTAGCACCCGTAGACGTATAAAAAGGAAAAAATGCACAGTTGCTTACTATTTTAACGTTGTAAAATGGTTCAAAGTGTATATGACGTCTCTGTCTCATATTTTACGATACCATTTTGCAGTGTTAAAGAGAAAAAAAAGAAAGTGCGTTTTTAGTCATCTGAGCTTTCAAACGAAAGGCCATAACATAAGGTTTATTTTTAAATGCCAAGAAAACAAGTAACAATAATTTTGTTACTTGAAGACAATTTGTTAAAAACGAATTCAAATGTTTTTTTTTATTGGGAATAGACTTAATCTACTGTATGAATTTTCTTTAGAGGTACTTTTAAGATTTGTATGAATATAAAAAAAAACAATAAATAAAAAGGCTACTCCTTTAGTATAATAATAGAATATCTATTATCGAATAATGTGACAACGCAAGAAATACAAGACTGGTGTTGCTTAGGTATATTACTTTTAGTCAATTTATATTTCGGCTTTTATGTGCCACTTTAAACGAAGAAATACAAACTATTCTATCGGATACTCATTGCGATACATAATTGAGCACTTATCATAAATAAACTAAATTTCGCTTATCGAAAATAAGAAATATCACGCTTTTTCATAGCTTTTGATCTGGTAGTTTTGTATTTTTAACAAAACCCTTCGACGTCATAACGGAAGATGCGACGAAACTGTCCTAGATGCGATGAGTGCTATGTTATCTGTTTTAGCACTCATTTACCGCGGTCGTTTTTGAGCGTGGGACTGTGCATTTCTTCTTTTTTAAAGATCAATGGTAGCGTTGTAATGATAATTTAATTGTATTTGATGATGTACCTCTAAATGAACACTGACCAGCGTGTTGATTCTTGCACAATAATGGCCATAGAGAATTAGAGAAAAAAATATAGCGGGATCGTGAGGTTAATGATGGTGGTTATGTCTATGGTGATTACCTATTCTATACTTAGAGTAAAGATAGCAGAGACCGTCTAAAATTTTTGAAAGGAGATCGGCAAAATGGGTCTAAGCGTGGCTGGAAATATGACATATACAAGAAAATAAGACACATTAAAATTAATTATCAAAATGTGGGTTATTTTACATTTTCAGAGTCTGGTAAATTATTTCTAAAACACTACCAATTTTAAGTAAAAAATACTAATTGGGTCTTGTATTCAAGTCACTTCTGTTGACAGTTTTGACAATCGCTGCCCATAATTACTATTTAGCATCTGCTTAAGTGCCACAGAGTATCTTTGTGTAGTAGGATTACCTTTTTCAACTGTTTAGAATAATATATGGATAGTGATACGACTCACTATTAAAACCCATTATTTAGTTTATATTATAACTATTACTGTACTAGGTAGGTTGGAATTTTTTTTTTTAATTTAAAATCACAGGTGACAGAAACAACGACTATAAAAGTGATAAAAAAGAATAATTATAACATATGTTATATTTATAGAACAAATATTTGTTCTTTTTTTAATAACGATCTATTTCAATTAATTTTAAATAGACATTAAAAAATAGGTATATAATTACATTAGCTAGCGATACCCCAAAAGCAATAGTTTTAATATTACTTGTCATTCTCTAGAAAACAAAATGTTATTCATGTTTACTGAAGTTTTGATTATGTTACACGTCAATTTGTATTGGTCAAATAAGAGTGTGGAATGTTGCAATTGGTGCAAGCTCGAATTTCTTTTCATGATGTGACAATCAGTATTGCTATTATAATAAAAGGTATACCATGTGTACTTAAAAGTTATATCATTATATCATTGTTCTCCGGGTTACAAAACTTTTGACAAATATTTAATTCTATTACGCAAATTTCACCGCTTTTTTCCATATGACTACCATTTATAGCCATTATTAGGCCCACAGTCCATGTGAAATTGCCGAGTCTCCTTTCCATACAAATGTTTCTTATTGGCACCTTCACAATCATATTTAACAAAAAAGAGTCAAATTAATTTTGTTTTTCCTCAAAAATCACTATATATACGTAAAACGTCAAATCAACCTTTAGGATTTGTTTATTAGCAGTTAATTTAAAAATAATATGTTGTAGAACTTATAGTTTAGGGTGCTGTTCCATTTTATTTAGTCGTATGTATAAATATGACAAGAGTATTTTCTGCACGGTGGCGGTTTGGTTTGTATCAATTCCTCGGGTTTTTCATAATGTTTTCAATATACATCAAATGAATAGGCCCCCAAGAATATTAAGATGTTATGTTTTGTGTCAGGGTGCAATTGTCAATAGGGAAGGTTGCAAAATGTTAACTAATAAAGGCCGTGTTTTGAAAATATAAAAATGTCCTTAATAGAACAAGAGTAACTTTTTGTTTCAGCAACATGTTGCCAAAATAATAATGATGACTTTTTAATATTAAAATTATGTGTGGATATTTCTTCATAACAAGAAAACCAGTAAATTCTGATATTTCTTACATATTTATAGTTTACTTTTAGATTGCAGGAAAATGCAATATTGATGTTTAATTGTAATTTATGTCAATAATTTTCAAGACTTACAAAACTTTATCTTGTACCAGTCATTTTATTCGGTCACAACGCTCGGCGTAAATTATAATTTAGTAATTATTGTTTCTGATCCTGATCTCGCTCTTTATTTCAATTGTAGCCCTGTTTTTTATTCCAATGCCAATTTTGATCCTTAATGCTATCGCCAAATTCTACATTTGGTTTGGTCACATAAATGTAACTAAACCAAAGTAGGAATTGAGGAGAAAGTGAGGAGGACCTCGGTGATCGCGATCGCGACGCGTCAAGGGCCACAGCGAGAGCGCCGGGCGCAAACGCAACGCGACGCGTAAGCAACGCTCCCCGCGATCCCGTCGAGAGAGAATAGCAGCGCCGCGTGAGTTATCAGACGAACACAAACACGAACCGGTTGTTGACACCGTTAGGTTGCCCCGTCTAAAATTTTGTAGCTATCGCATCATTAGAAGTATGAAGGACCATTGTGAAGTCAGACCATAGATACTTTACTATAATTTATTTGTCGAAAAGTTGTCGACTGTTATTGACAATTCTGTGGTTGACAATGACATGACTATAAGTTGG